GGGCGTGTGTACAATAACTAAAATTTTGAACGTGCAGAAAATCAATAATTGTTCCAGTGATCGGTCCTCTGTCTCCTTTGCCAACAGACATTCCTGGAATACGAGTATTCTCTCGCATTAGTGACTATCTTCCTATCGCTCCCAAGTTGTGTTTCCGAATAAAGAGAATGATATCCAGAGGCCACCTTGATTTAATTTTCGAGAGTTTCATGAAAATGACGTTCAGACGAACAAACAAAGTAAATCTCATGAATCCTATGCATAAATACTAACAACTCAACAGGAGAATGCGGAAAAGGAATAATATCTAATAAATGCCGACTTCTAGCAAGCAAGCGAGCCGAAATTGTAAAGCAAAGGTGAGTTCGCCCCAACAAAACCAAAATAGTTCAGACAAGAAAATGTGTTAAAATTGTTAAAGTCTATCTAGTCAGCACAAATACACGAACTAGGTCTAGAGAGATCTCAAAATTTCTTCCAAAGGTTGACCTTCGGTAGACTATTTAAATGAATAAAAATTAATATTTGTGTGGTCAACAGGCACAAACCCTACCTATCGTGTGTCTAGTGGCCAGACCAAAAAACGCATACATGTGCCGGAATTAACTAATCAACCTACCTGACTATGTACCGGCCACAATGAAAGATGTGAGTAAGAAGAACCGAGATAATTTGTGGCTCTGCGATTCGTCGTAAGGGTAAGCGAATCAGTGGGGAAATGAGAATTTCAGCCGACCAATAAAATCATTAACAATAATAACCAATGAGATTCCAAAACGAAACTGCCGCCTGGCCAATGGGCGTAGCAGCCGCTCTTGATGCCAAATTCAGCCGCGTGTATGAACACAGGGAAATGCCTTGCCGAGGAAGACGGACGGCAGCGAATGCTGCCTTATCCAAAACACAAAAAGAGAAGGCTCAGGCACTCCCGACCCTCGATGGTGCTAAGGTAGATAATTTGTTAACGGAGGTAGTCCAACCCATTGGATTCTGGCAAATTGGCCTAGTCCTCTTGAACGCACTCTCCTGTCCCAATACGGTTGTACTGTCAATATTCATAAACTCCTTTCCA